TCATATGTGTATATGGTGTGAGGTAAGGGCCCCAATTCATTTTTTTCCTGTGGAAATCCAGTTGTCCCACCACTATTTGTTGAAAAGACTATTTTCCCTCATAAAACTGTCTTGGAACTCTTGTCAGAAACGAATTTCTATTAAATGTGTAGGTTTATTCCTGACTCGCAATTCTATTCCATTCATCCAGATGTCTGTCATTATGCCATTACCACACTGTTTTGACTATTGCAGCCGTGTATAATACTGTTTTGAAATTTTTAACTGTGAGTCTGCCAACTTGGTTCTTGTTCAAGATTTTTTGAACATCCTGAGTCTCTTGCATTTTCTTATGAATTTTAGGATCAGCTTGTCAGTTTCTGCAAACATGATCTCTGGATACTTTTTAAGATTTTTTTCATTGGTTTTGAGTAATTTGATCATAGTCTTTGGTGCAATTGTCTTCATTTATGTTCCTTGTGCAGTTAATTGAGCTTCTTGGAATTTTGGGTTAATAGTTTTCATTAAGTTTGAAATTTAGGGGAGGCATTATTTCTTCAAATATTTTTTCTTTCCCCCCTCATTTGGGAACTTAAGTTACAAATAATCGAGCCACTTGAAGCTGTACTACAGCTTACTAATAATCCATTTCCATTTTTATTAATAAAATTCTTCTTTCTCTATGCATTTCATTTTTCATAGTTTTTATTGCTATGCTTTTATGTTCACTATTCTTTTGTAGTATCTAATCTGCTATCAATCCCATCCATTGTATTGTTTATCTCTAGAAGTTCTACTTGAGTCTTTTTTATATGTTCTATATCTCACCTTAACTTTTCGAACACATGGAATACAGTTCTAATACCTGTGCTAATGTCCTTATCTCCCAGTTCTAATATCTGTGTCAAATCTGACTTGGTTTTGACAATTGATTATTCTACACATTATATGTTGTGTGTTTCCTGCCTCCTTGCATGTTGGACAGTCTTGGCTGAATGCCTGACAGTGTGAATTTAACCCTGTTGCGAGCTGGATATTTTGTGTTTCTGCAGGTCTTCTTGAGCAATACAGTGTGTTACTTGGAAGCAGCTTGATCCTTTTGGGTCTGGCTTGTGTGATTTGTTATGTGGGGCCAAGGCAGTGCTCAGTCCAAAGCTGATCATCTTCGTCTGCTGAAGGGAGAGTGTTCCTGAGTACTTAACCTGATGCCCTGTGAATTAAGAAGGTTTCTAATCTGACTGTAAACAGACATTATTCCAGCCCTTGTGCTCCTCTGGTGCTACTTCCTCTAGTCCTTTCAGATGGCTCTTTCCTGTGTGCATGTGCCAATCAGTGCTCTGTGGCATCCTTGAGGGAGGGGGCCCTCTCTCTGTGCAGCTTTCTCTTCTCTGGTTTTCTGTTCCATGGGCACAGGCTGCCTTTGTCTCTCAGGACATCAGCTCTGTCTCCTCAACTCAGAGTCTGCCTGGCTCTGCCTCAGTTTCCTTTTCCCGTAAACGTAAGTCAGGAAGCTGGGGCAATTATAGGGCTCACCGTTGTTTCCTATCTCTAATACATCACTGTCCTTCATTCATCTTAACCATTCTGATGATTCTGTACCCAATTCCAATGTGTGGGGTTTTTCTTTCCCACAAAAAGTAATTCTCTGAGAAACCAGCCAAGTGTCCTACAGTTCAACTCAATTCTGACACCATCCACCTGGAAATAGCATCAGATCCCATAGGTTAAGGGCTCAGTCCCACAAGGCTGCCTCCCCCACCACTTCAGATATCTGCTGCAAGTCCAGGTTGTCACCTGTGCTTCTGGCCAACATGCTATAAATTAGAGGTTCCAATGACCCCCTTCCTTGGGTTTTAATAATTTGCCCAAGTGGCTCACAGAACTCAGAGAAACATTTCACTTACTAGATCAGTGCTTTATTATAAAAGGGTATAACTCAGGAGTAGCCAGAAGGAAGAGACGTATAGGCAAGGCACGTGGGAAGGGGCAGGGCCAAGCATGCCACTCTCCCCCAGCGTCCGTGTGTTTGCCAGCCGGGAAGCTCTCTGAACCCTATCCTTTTGGGTTTTTATGAAGACTTCATCACACAGGCACAACTGATTAAATCATTGACCACTGGTGATTAAAAATTTTTTTTAATTGGAGTATAGTTGCTTTACAGTGCTGTGTTAGTTTCTACTGTACAGCAAAGTGAATCAGCTATACATATACACATATCCCCTCTTTTTTGGGTCTCCTTCCCATTTAGGTCACCACAGAGCATTGAGTAGAGTTCCCTGTGCTGTGCAGTAGGTTCTCCTTAGTTATCTATTTTACATATAGTATCAGTAGCGTGTATATGTCAATCCCAATCTCCCAGTTCATCCCACCCTCCCTTTCCCCCTTGGTATCCATAGGTTTGTTCTCTACGTCTGTGTCTCTGTTTTGGCTTTGTAAATAAGATCATCTATACAGTTTTTTCAGATTCCACATATATGCATTATATACGATATTTGTTTTTCTCTTTCTGGCTTACCTCACTCTGTATGACAGTCTCTAGGTCCATCCATGTCTCTACAAATGACCCAATTTCGTTCCTGTTTATGGCTGAGTAATAGTCCATTGTACATATGTGCCACATCTTCTTTATCCACTCCTCTGTTGATGGACATTTAGGTTGTTTCCATGTCCTGGCTATTGTAAATAGTGCTGCAATGAACATTGGGGTGCATGTGTCTTTTTGAATTATGGTTTTCTCAGGGTATATGCCCAATAGTGGGATTGCTGGGTCACATGATAGTTCTATTTTTAGTTTTTTAAGGAACCTCCATACTGTTCTCCATAGTGTCTGCATCAATTTACATTCCCACCAAAAGTGTAGGAGGGTTCCCTTTTCTCCACACCCTCTCCAGCATTTATTGTTTGTAGATTTTGTGATGCAGGCCATTCTGACAGGTATGAGGTGAAAACTACCTCATTGTAGCTTTGATTTGCATTTCTCTAATGATTAGTGATGTTGAGCATCTTTTCACGTGCCTCTTGGCCATCTGTATCTCTTCTTTGGTGAAATGTCTATTTAGGTCTTCTGCCCATTTTTTGATTGGCTTGTTTGTTTTTTTGATATTGAACTGCATGAGCTGTTTGTATATTTTGGGGATTAATCCTTTGTCAGTTGCTTCATTTGCAAATATTTTCTCTCTTTCTGAGTGTTGTCTTTTCGTCTTGTTTATGGTTTCCTTTGCTGTGCAAAAGCTTTTAAGTTTAATTAGATCCCATTTGTTTATTTTTGTTTTTATTTTCGTTACTCTAGGAGGTGGGTCATAAAACATCTTGCTGTGATTTATGTCAAAGAGTGTTCTGCCTGTTTTCCTCTAAGGGTCTTATAGTGTCTGGCCTTACATTTAGGTCTTTAATCCATTTTGAGTTTATTTTTGTGTATGGTGTTAGGCAGTGTTCTAATTTCACTCTTTTACGTGTAGCTGCCCAGTTTTCCCAGCACCATTTATTGAAGAGGCTGTCTTTGCTCCACTGTATATTCTGGCCCCCTTTGTCATAGATTAGTTGACCATAGGTGCGTGGGTTTATCTCTGGGCTTTCTCTCCTGTACCATTGATCTATATTTCTGTGTTTGTGCTAGTACCATACTGTCTTGACTACCGTAGCCCTGTAGTGTAGTCTGAAGTCAGGGAGCCCAATTCCTCCAGCTCCGTTTTTTTTCTTTTCTCAAGATTGCTTTTGCTATTCAAGGTCTTTTGTGTTTCCATACAAGTTGTAAAATTTTTTGTTCTACTGTGAAAAATGCCATTGATAATTTGATAAGGATTGCATTGAACCTGTAGATTGCTTTGGGTAGTACAGTTATTTTGACAATATTGATTCTTCCAGTCCAAGAACATGGTATATCTCTCCATCTCTTTGTGTCATCTTTGGTTTCTTTATGAGCATCTTATAGTTTTTGGTGTACAGGTCTTTTGCCTCCTTAGGTAGGTTTATTCCTAGGATTGAACTCAATCTCCAGCCCCTCTCCCCTCCCTGGATGTCAGGGGGTCCCAACCTTCTAGTCACGTGGTTGGTTACCCTGGCAATCAGCCCCCATCCTTAGGGGCTTTTGGAAAATCACTTCATTAACATAAAAAAAACCACCTCTGTGCCTCTCCTCACTTAGGAAATTCCAAGGGTTTAGGAGCTCTGAGTCAGGAACAGGAGGAAGACCAAACATATATTTCTTATAATAAATTACAACATCACAACCATTGTTTTGTGTATTGTGTTTGTTTTCCTTTGGTTGTTTCAGGGGGCCAGTGTCTTAGTTCAGGCTGTTATAACAAAGTGCCATAGACTGTGCAGCTTAAATAACAGAAATTTATTGCTTAAAGTTGTGGAGACTGGAAATCTGAAATCAGGGTGCCAGCATGGCTGGGTGCTGGTGAGAGCCCTCTTCTGAATTGCAGATGGCCATCCTCTCACTGTGTTCTCACACGGGGGAAGGGGAAAGGGGTCTCTTCTTATAAGGGCACTAATCCCATTCATTAGGCTCCACCCTCATGACCTCATCTAAGCCTGATCACCTCAAAAAGATCCCATCTTCAAACACCGTCATGTTGAGGGTTAGGACTTCAGCATATGAATTTTGGGGGGACACAACATTCAGACCTTAGCAGAGGGTAAATCCAGCCCCTCTTCTCCATTGTGGCTAGAAGTTGAAGTCCCAGCTATTGGTTTTGAGGCCTGTGTTATCCTTGTTCCTTAGTTGGCTGGAACTGGAAGATGCTGTTGTTGCCACTGTCTGCTGTTTATGAAGCCCAGTATTTATAATTTGTTGGGTCTTGTAGTTAGTTATAGGCCTGGAAACATGGGCTGGTAACAGCCTGGGGACAAGGGGGGGCCATAGGGTAGCTGTGTCCCCCATGCCTTCTGACTCAGAAGTGTGAGTGGCTCCCAGGAATGGCTGCACAGTGAGAATCAGGTAGCCTGTGGGGTGGGGCCCGTTCCCCAGGCAGATGGGGTGCAGGCCTCGCTTCAGCTCCACCCTTCATCCTCAGTGACCAGCACCGACTACGAAACTGCTGTGGATGCCACGGAAACCTCGTCCTATTTCAGCGCCCAAGGCTACCTGTCCAGGTAGAGGGCCATGCAGGGGTGGTCCTGGGCCCTTTGCGGGGGGTGGCAATGCTGGCTTGGACTGACAGAATCCAAATCCTGGAGCCTTCAACCAGGCCACGGCAGTCTCTGTCCAGGAAAGAGGAGACCTCAGAAGCCATCCACGCTTGACCCTGGTCCCCTCCTGTCCTGGACCCCTCACTGGTCCATCTCACATCTTCCCCTTCTTGGTTCTCCCTGACAGCTGGGAGCAGGAGGGCATGGAGTCTACCTCAGAGGAGGGGCAGCTGCCGCAGGTCGTGGAGGACCTGAAAGACCTCCAGGTGGCCCCCGGCACGCGTCTGGCCAAGTTCCAGCTCAAGGTGAAAGGTAAGGGGGAGAGAGATGAAGGGAAAGGAGCTGCCTCCCACCAGAGGGAGGGTTAGGGTTAGGGTCAGATCACCCAGGGGTCTCTGAGGGCCTGTGGAGGGCATGGTGCCCACTGGGCTGTGGCCCTGTGCTAACCACTCCCCCTGCGGCCCCAGGCTACCCCACGCCTCGACTGTACTGGTTCAAAGATGGGCAGCCCCTGACTGCATCTGCACACATCTGCATGATGGACAGGAAGACACTGCACACCCTGGAGATTGTCTCGGTCACCAGCGAGGATGCTGGCCAGTACTCGGCCTACATCAGCAACACCGTGGGTGCTGCTTATTCGTCTGCTCAGCTCCTGGTCCGAGGTGGGTGCTCAGGGATGCAGCAGAGCTTTGTGTCCACACCCAGGTTGATGTCTACCTATAAACCATGCTGTGGCAAGCCTGGGAGCTAGGGCCCAGTGGTCACTGCCCCTGTGTGCAAAAGTCACGGGTGGCCAGAAGCTGGCTCCCAGAGAACATGTGCCCTTAGAGGGCGTGGGGCCCATGAAAACTGACCAGCAAGCAGAGTAGCTAGCTGGTGGAGTAGGCCCAGGCAAGCATGGAGCCCTCCGTAGACTGCGGAGGAAGAGGCAGGTAGTGATTGGGGGAGTAGAGGTCTGAACTTCCTTATTTTCCAAAGTTCTGAGCACTGCAAGGTGATTCCAAGTCTTGCCCAAATCTGCCTTGGTCTAGGGACCCAACACTGCCTGAGGCATTGCTTCAGTTGTGGCGTTTTGAGCACAAGCATCCCAAAGTTAGTTTCAGAGCAACGCCCCAGACTCCTGGGCAGGCATGGGTAACATTCCATCTGGTCCGTGGAGACTGAATGAATTCCATGTCTGCATGGCCAGGTTTAGGAAAGGTGCTGTGTGTAGGAGTGGGCGGGGCCACCCTCGGGACTCACACCCTGCTAGGCAGGCCCACTCAGTGGAGGGGGCACCTTGGTGCTGTAGATCTGACTTCTGTGCTTTCTTCAGGCCCCAATGAACCAGAAGAGAAGCCAGCATTCGGTGAGCCGACTCCAGAGGGCAGAGGGAGGGAGGGTGGGGTGGACACTGGGGACAGGTTCAGTGAGGGTGCGTGAGGGGGACGACCACATGGAATTGGCTCTGCATTGTTTACCACCAACCGCCCCATGTCTCTCCAGATGTACACCAACAGCTGGTGCCACCCCGATTCCTGGAGAAGTTCACCTCCAAGAAGGTGAAGAAGGGCTCCAGCATCACCTTCTCAGTGAAGGTTGAAGGTGAGATGTCCTGCCTCCCTGTCCCACTCAAGAGAGCCCCCAGGGAGGTCCCCTCCCTGCACCCACTCAGGACCCTCCTAGGGAGGCTCAGAGGTGACCCCTGCCTCCCAGAGCCACCCTCTTGGTGTGGGGAGACTGTCCACCATATACTCCTGCCTGCAGGAGACCCGCCCCCAGCTGTGCATTGGCTGCGGGAGGAGGCTGAGCAGGGTGTGCTGTGGATCGGCTGCCACACGCCGGGCTACACAGTGGCCAGCTCTGCCCAGCAGCACAGCCTGGTCCTTCTGGATGTGGACCGACAGCACCAGGGCACCTACACCTGCATCGCCACGAACACTGCTGGCCAAGCCCTCTGTTCTGCAAGCTTGCACGTCTCTGGCCGTGAGTGGGCATGGGTGACCCAGCCAGGAGTGGGAGAGGGGCAGTGTGGGTAGTGTGCAGCCTCAGAGCTCATGGGCCAGCTCCCACCCCCTACCCTGTGGGCTCCATTCAGCTAGCTGAGACCCTCCTAGAAGCCCCCTGCCGCCCTGAGTGGTTTCTTCCTGGGTCCCTCTCAGCTCTTCCCAGAGTGGGTGAGTCAAGTGCAGACCCCATTCCCATCCCTACCAATGGTGGGATGACCGTGGGCCAAGCTGGGACACTGGGCACATTCTTCCTCGGGGCTCCAGATGACAGGGCCAAAGCCCCCTGGGGGGTGGTCCAGGCATCCCTGGCAGGGGTCCCGATCAGAATCAGAGCTCGAGGGTATGAGGTGTCATCCTTGTTGCTCACCCTGTTCTCCTGACAGTACCTAAGGAGGCTGGGGCAGCGGAGGAGCAGGCCGGGGTGAAGGAGGCCCTCATCTCCACCTTCCTGCAGGGGTGAGTGAGGGGCTGCTCAAGAGCTAGAGGGGCCAGGAGTGAGGTCCCTGGAGTGTGGGTCCTGGGAGTGCAGGTCCTGGGAGAGTGGGGTCCTGGCCCTGGTGGGGGGCAGTGCTGCTGCTGGGGAGGGAGCCCCATCACAGATCCCAGCCCAGCTCTGGGCCTCTTGGGCCATGTGGCTTGGGTCCCCATTGGAAAGAGAGGACTTCCCCAGGGCCCCGACTGTGGCATCAAGGCCCACTGCCCCCAGACCCTCTTTTCTGTCAGGACCTTCAGCATACCTCCTCCCCCTTTAGGACCCAAGTTGCTTCTGAACAGATGTCGCAACCTTCAGGTTTCACTGACCTCGCTGGGCAGAGGAAAGGTACGGGCTGAGTGGGCACACATCTGTGCGGGGTGGGGGACAGGGGATGTGGAGGAGGCTGCCCAGCTGGCAGGCCCCAGTACCGTGTGGCCCTAGGAATACCTGCTTGCCTAGGTCTGGGCTGGTCCTCCCTGCCCTCTTATGGGCCTAATTCTATGCTTTGGTTGGAGGATGTGGAAGCTCGTGGGGGCCCCTGGGCTGGGCCAGCCCTTGGCTTAGAGCTTACGTCCAGGGGGCTGTATGGAAGCCTAGGAGCAGGCAGCTGCTGAGTCAGGGCTGGCATGGGGGCAGTTCGGGGAGGCGGGTGCTGGATATGCTGCTGACAGGGCCCCCACTTTGTCTGGGATTCTCCCCCTGCCCCCAAGCTGGGTCCCCCTATTCCCAGCCTCTAAGTGTGCCTGCCCCCTGACATGTCCAGCCGCTTCCTGGCCACCTGCACAGGGCCCCAGCACCTTGGCATATTTAAAAAATTGTTTTATGGAGAATACTGAGTCTGCGCAGAAGTCGAGAGGAGGGAGCCGTGCACCCCATGTACCCACTGCCCACCTTTGGGATCACTTCTCCACTGACCTACTTTGTTAATTTACCCAGCCCTCCCTTCCCTATGCTGCCCCCATCCCAAGCTGCCCTCATTCCCCCGTAACCCCAGCAACTGCTCCCAGCCCCTCACACCTGCAAAGGATCCCACTTCCATCGAGGTCGACCTGAAGCCATCAAACCACAGCTGCCAGGGGTCTGACCCCCCCAGCCCTCGGGCCACAATTTGGGGTCCTGCCCCCTGCCTTCAGTGTCCAGGACCTGCCCTCATATTATACTGCCTGGCTGAGGTCCTTGTGATCTCCGTCCCTCCTGAGCCCCTTCCCAGACCAGTGGCCAAGTGGCCAACAGGAATGGAGGTGGCACAAACCCCGCTGAGGACCCCACAGCTCCAAGCTCCAGCCCCAGCCTGACCATTTACCCAGCTTTGCCCTCGGCTGCCCTTGCCCACCGGCTTGCAACCATGCTGGCTACCTGCTGTCCCCTGACTGCCTGCTCTCCCCACGGCCACCTGCTGCCCCCACTGTCATCCCTGAGTTTGTGGTCCCCTAAGTCACAGCTTGGCTCAGTTGCCCTTGAGCCAAAGAGACCCCTAGTCGTGGTCAGCCTCCCTGCTTCTGGCAGCTCTGGCCCAAATCTGTGCGTCCCCTGGCCACTCTGACCCCCAAGCCCAGGATGGGCCTGGAGGCGGGGGTTCAGGCACATCTGTGGAGCGCACGGCTGGCTGAGCTAGGGTCTGGCCCTCAGGAGAGCTGCCGGCAGCAGAGGCCCGTGGCCGCCTGTCCTTGGCCGAGGTGGGCACGGAGGAGTTCCTCAAGAAGCTCACTTCGCAGGTCACAGAGACAGTGTCAGCCGGGATCACACAGGGTAAGGGTAGCTGGTGATGGAGCGAGGTCCAGGGGTGGCCGGGACTGAGCCCCCAGGGCTGGGACCCCTCCTCACCTGAACGCCCCGTAGACCCATGGGAGGGCGGCATGGGGGGCAGGCCCTTCAAAGGCATCGTGTGCCCTGTGTCCCCCAGCCACACTGCAGGTGCCTGGAGGCGACAGCGATGAGGAGTCCAAGACGCCGTCCGCGTCCCCCCGACATGGCCGGTCACGCCCCTCTTCCAGCGTCCAGGAATCATCCTCAGAGTCCGAGGATGGAGACTGCCGGGGAGAGGTGCGTGGGCAGGCGAGGGGGTGGCGCAGGGTGGGCAAGGGGGTATGAGAGTGTCAGGGACAGGGGGAAGGTGGAGTTGGTGTAGGGGGCCGGGGGAGCTGGGGCGGAGGAGGTGGGCACACACCTGAGTGGCCAATATCACCACTGCGACCCAGGACACCCCCAGAACTCCAGAGGTTCCTCCTTGTCCCTTTGGGGCGGGCCACCTGGCGTTCCCGGTAGGATTTCCATCAGTAGAGATGGGTTGGGCCTGTTCTAGGACATCATGGACTCTCAGGATGGCTGCTTCCTCTCCGCTTAATTCCAGAGGCCTTGTAGCCTGGGGCCTTAGGAGGCCCACTGGCCCCTCTCCAGGTCTGACTCAGTGACTTCCCCCCCAGATCTTTGACATCTGTGTGGTCACGGCTGACTACCTGCCCCTGGGGGCTGAGCAGGATGCCATCTTGCTGCGGGAGGGCCAGTATGTGGAGGTACTGGACTCGGCGCACCCGCTGCGCTGGCTTGTGCGTACCAAACCCACCAAGTCCAGCCTCTCTCGGCAAGGCTGGGTGTCTCCTGCCTACCTGGACAGGCGGCTCAAGGTACCTGGATGGCTGGAAGGGTGGTCCTGGGGTTGACCCCCCTTCCCCATGAAGGTGGGAGCCTCTCACTGGAAGGGCAGGCTAGTGCTCAGGCTGTCTATGACCCTCTCCTGCCTCTCACCAGCTGTCACCTGAGTGGGGGCCAGCTGAGGCCCCTGAGTTCCCCGGGGAGGCTGTATCGCAGGATGAATACAAGACGAGGCTGAGGTGAGGGGCCACCGGGCAGGAGCTGTGGGAAGTTGGGTTCCTGTGGGGGGCGTCCAAGATGCTAACTACACCCAAGTCCCCTGGGGCTTGCCTCTAGCTGGCGGGACCTTGCCTGGAAACTTCGTGTGGTGGGGCTGCCCGGTGTGTGAGGGTGCCCTCCCTCCACCAGCTTGCCAGGCCCATTCTGAAAGTGGGCAGCAGGATGCACGTGACTTGGAAGTGCCCGGTTCAGTAGCTAAGCTCCTGGGTCTTCCCCTCATGGCTGTCTCCCCACCCAGCTCCATCATCCAGGAGCTGCTGAGCTCGGAGCAGGCCTTTGTGGGCAAGCTGCAGTTCCTGCAGAACCACCACATGCAGTACCTGGACCACTGCCCCCACGTGCCCACGGCTGTGGCCAGCCAGAAGGCAGTCATCTTCCGAAATGTGCAGGACATCAGCCACTTCCACAGCAGGTAGGCATGCAGGATGGGCCTCAAGGCTATTCCCCGGTCTGTGTGTACATGCATGTATACACACGCATGCTTAGACACACACATGGGCACACTGTTCACATGTGTAGACACATGTGTGCACATACAAGCCGTACATGCACAAGACACATGCCTACACACATGTGGACACACACCACACGTGTGCATACACACGTGGATGCTCACACTTGCACATGCGTGTACCGACAGGGCTGTACCTCAGGAGAGTGGGCAGGAGTCGAGAAGAGACAGAACCTTTGATGACTTGATTCACCCACTGGTGCACCACACTCCTGTACACACATGTCCCCAGGAACACAGGCACGTGCACCTGGCTTATCCCCGGAAGTGCCTGTGACACACCTACCCACTGCAACCCAAGTACACAGACATACCCCAGAAATGTGCACACACATGTACATGGGCACACACAAGTACATGTGCATACCTGCACACTCACACACAGCCTTTCACATGTGGGCATACATGTACATGGCACACACATGAGTACATGTACACCCAGAGACACGTACTCCCTTACGTGCTTGCACACCTGCACATAAGTGCACGCCCTGAAATACCACGTGTGCGTGGCCCTCACAGCCCAGAACACTCACTGTCATCCCCAGGAATCTGGCCCTGGGCAGGAGCCTGTTTCTTCCCAAACCTGAGGGTTTGGGGCCGGGTTGTGGGTCGTGGGTGAGGGTCCTGATGTCAGCCCTCACCTGACCACCGTTCCCCTCCATGTCAGCTTCTCACAGGAGCTGCATAGCTGTGACACGGATGACGACGTGGCCATGTGCTTCATCAAGAACCAGGCAGCCTTTGAGAAGTATCTGGAGTTCCTGGTGGGCCGAGTGCAGGCTGAGTCGGTGATGGTCAGCACGGCCGTGCAGGAGTTCTACAAGGTGCTCCTCTGCCTGTCAGCCCTGCCTCCACTCGCCAGGCTTGATGCTGGCTTCCAGCTCTTAGATCATCTTCCCTGACCCTGCTTTGGCCCCACTTCGGCCTGCCCAGGCCCCCTGGCCCCTAGCTTAGAAAAGCGGGCAGGGTCCCCCCGCAACCCCAAGCTCGGCTCACCTGTTAGACAACGACACCGGCCATCACCTGGGGCGGCGGTGGGGCCCACCTGGGGAGGAGGGTCTGTGTGTGGGACCCTGATCCACCAGCTCTGGAGCTCTGGGGACATAAGCCATCTGGAGGCTGTGCCCCCCCGCCCTGAACCCAGCCCTGCGGTTTCCACAGAAATACACTGAGGAGGTGCTGTCAGCCGCAGATTCTTCGCAGCCACCCCCGCCGTCCCTGCAGCACTTCTTGGAGCAGCCGGTGGAGCGGGTCCAGCAGTACCAGGCCCTGCTCAAGGTAGGCACGGCTGGCCAGGGGCTGTGGGGCCACCCCCATGCCCAGCCACCCCAGGTCTTGCCCTGACCCGCAGTCTCCCCCAGGAGCTGATCCGCAACAAGGCGCGGAATGGACAGAACTGTGCACTGCTGGAGCAGGCCTATGCAGTGGTGTCGGCCCTGCCGCAGCGTGCCGAGAACCAGCTGCACGTGTCGCTCATGGAGAACTACCCAGGCACCCTGGAGGCTCTAGGCGAGCCCATCCGCCAGGTCTGGGGCTGGGGGTGCAGTGGAGGGCCTGGACAGGTGGCCAGGGCTTGTGGAGGGCTGGACTCCAGGCTGGGCCTGGCTGACCACAGGCTCACCGCTCTCCCAGGGCCACTTCATTGTGTGGGAGGGGACACCGGGTGCGCGGATGCCGTGGAAGGGCCACCACCGGCATGTCTTCCTGTTCCGCCACCACCTGGTGGTCTGCAAGCCCAAGCGGGACTCGCGCACTGACACCTTCAGCTACATCTTCCGGAACATGATGAAGGTTTGCAGGGTGCCAGCGGAGCCTGGGTGGGCAGAGGGAGGCCATGCAGGATGTGCGGGCAGCTGGAGGCTGCTGGCCGGTCCTGCAGCCCTGTCCTGGGTGACCATGGCTCAGCCTGCATCCGGGCAGTCAGCCTGCGTCCTCCCCCCCACAGCTGAGCAGCATCGACCTGAACGACAAGGTGGAGGGCGATGACCGTGCCTTCGAGGTTTGGCATGAGCGGGAGGACTCAGTACGCAAGTACCTGCTGCAGGCGCGGACGGTCATCAACAAGAACTCCTGGGTGAAGGAGATCTGTGGCATCCAGCAGCGCCTGGCCCTGCCCATGTGGCGTGAGTGCCTGGGCTCATGAGGCGAAGCTGGATGGGAGGCTGAACCTTTCAGCCTGGCTGTCTGGCTTGCAGGCACCCAGGCTGGCAGGTCCTGAGCCCTGGCGCCCTGCCCCTACCTGGGCAGGCACAAGGGAAGGGGCTCGATTCTGGGGCAAGTGGCTCTCTCTACCCTTGGTTAGCCCAGCCTCTCGGGAGCCCTTAGTCAGAGTGTAGGGCTGGCCCTGACCAGAATTGAGGGGAGCCTCGAGATTCACTCGGGACTTTCCAGCACAAGGCAGGTGCCCAGACTGTGTTAGGGATGTGAAGGCCCAGAAGACTTGGTTTTGCTCCCTCGCTTAGAACAGGAGAGACGATCCCATTTCAACATGCCCTCTTTTTCCACAGTCCCTACCACTCCCCAGTATACAGCCAACCTGTGTCGCTCACCCTAATGCCCATCCAGGCCCTAGTGTGGTACTACGGATAAAGGCTCACAAGGAGTGGTATCTGTTGCAACCACATCCTTGGTCATGGGGCTCTGCCCCTGCCAGGTGTGCACCTGAGGGGACGGGTAAGTGCTCCAGGCCCTGTGTATATATCCCCAGGCCCCCCGGATTTTGAAGAGGAGCTGGCCGACTGCACGGCTGAGCTGGGCGAGACAGTCAAACTAGCCTGCCGTGTGACGGGCACACCCAAGCCCATTGTGAGCTGGTACAAAGGTAGGCCTTTGGGGGCCAGTGGATACTGATCTTGCAACAAGCAAGAGCTGCCCAGAGGGAATCAGGCTGGGCAGGGGACCAGGGATCCAGGGTGGGGTCTGGCTGAGGGGCTGGACACAAGAGACAGGCCTCCTGTTCCAGTCTCCTGCTCCTGAATCAAAGACAGGCTGGCCAGCGTGCACAGGTGGATGAGGTGGGACAGAGGCGGAGGCTGCTTAGGTATGCATCGTATTTCTGACGCAGTGACTCTGCCCACCACCGAATCTCACTCATTAGCTCTCTCATTTGACATGTTTGTGCTGAGTGTCCAGGTACCATTCCAGGTGCAGGGAAGGTGCAGTGAACAGGCAGATCAACCTTGTCCAAGGAGGCTGACCTTCTAGGGGAGGAGACAGATGACAAGCACATAGACAAATGTGTAATATTTGTGACCAGCCAGAGAAATAAGGCAGAGTGAAGGGCAGAGAGTAGCCATCATGCAGACATGTTGGAGGAACTCCAAATAGGCAGTGAGGCTCCAGGAGGACAGGGGAGGGGGAGGCGCTGAGGCAGGTGTAGTGGGGAATGAGGCTGGGGAATGCTGGGCCTTGAGGGCTGCCGTGTGGGTCTCAGATTTGACTCTGTGTGTGATGGGAGCTGCAAAGTTTGGGGGTCCCCAGGAACACCGAGGTCAGGAGCCCAAGACCATTCTCACTGGACACCAACTGCAGTTATGGGGTCCCATAACTGCCTTCAGGTTCAGTGATTCACCAGGACTCGCGGAACTCAGCAGAGCCGTTCCACTCAGGGTTCTGGTTTACTGCAGTAAAAGGGAAGAGGCACATGGGGTGGGGTCCAGTTGGGGATCCAGGTATGGTCCAGATGTCCCCCCAGTGGAACTGTGTCGACATGCCTGTTTCAGTACAGATGTGTGCCATCACACGGACTGTGGCCAGCCAGGGACGCTCGCTTGTTGAGCCTTGTTGTCCAGGGTTTCTGTTGGGGCACTCACGTAGGCTGACTACCTGCATGGCTGACCTCAATCTCTGGCCCCTCTGAGGTCAAGCTGATGCAGTATGGCCTAAAGCCCACACCCTAAATCACAGTGTGGCACAGACCATCTGGTGTGGTCCAGGTTCCCAGGTAAACCAAGATACTCTTATGAGGCCTCACCTGGCTGGCAGGTAGGTCTCCTCTGGGCTGGCAGGTAAATCCTGGATCCTTAGTTCAGTCCCAGTAGCCGAGTCCAGTCCTGGTTTTGGAGGAGCTGTCCCAGGGAAGTCAGTCCTCCTGTCCTGCTTGTTCACAACCAGCTGGGGCATTTGTTCACCCACGAATGGCTACGTGCCCCTGGGGCTGGAGAAGACATGCAGGGGGCACTTTGCTGGGACATGAAACAGGGGCCGTCCCAGTCCCACTGTAAGAGCTTCAGGCCAGAGTCAGTGGAGCAGCAGTTGGTCCCCCGCAGCAGCCTGGGGATCGTCCTTCTGGGGTCTGTGGAGCTCCCTTCCCAGCTGCCTCACAGAACTCATATGTAGTGCAGCTCCATTTCCCTGCCATCCCTTCTCACACCCCAAACTTGCACCTGTGACGATGTGTCCAGAGAGACAAAGCCATTCCATAAAAGTTATTTCGAAGTAAGAATGAGCCTCTCAGCCACCACCTTTCAGCTGGGCTGCCCCCAGGAAAGTGTGCCCGCCAGGCTGCGTCTGAGGGGAATGAGGGATGCACCATGCCTAGGAACAGTCAGAGTGGGATCCCAGGTTCCCAGCTGTATCCAGACAATCCACTGTCCCTTTCATCTTGACCATTACCCTGTGAGCAGCTTGCAGGCTTTGACCCCTCTGAGGACAGCTGTGTCCAGTGAGTAGAGGAAGCAAGGGACAGTCGGACGGTCAACTCATGCTGGGCAGCTTCTGTGAAAGACGACACAGGTTCTCAAACTGCAGGTGGTGCAGGCAGCGTACACAGCCATGCGGTGTGGCCAGAGCTGGCCCTTCACCGACCTAAAGCAGCATCTCAGTTGGAAACACCACAGATGGCCCTGAGAGGCACCCATCTGCCAGATGGGGGGTCCACCCCAAGTGATGTGCACCCCCCTCATCTCAGAGCCTCTCTCTTGGCAGTCCCCTGTCTGGCATGCACTGGAACTCAGTGCCACGTGCAATGCAATGGCTCCACACAGGAACCCTGGTGGGAGCCCTATCAGTGGCCTCACTTTGCCTCCATGGTTCATGGACCCAAGGAAGGGTGTCTTCAACCCACCTGTCTATAGCCTGTTAAGTGTCAAACCACATAGCCAGGGCATTCACAACATCTCAAGGTCAATGAGCACATAACCTTCGCCAGGAAAAGTAGCATCTGGCAGGAGAAATCAGACTCACCAGCCAGCAAAATGTCATTCATTTGGCGGAAGCTTGAGTGTCATGGGAGAGGGCCAAGTCCTGATCCAGCCCACCCTCCCGGGGGCAGCCAGCAGGGAGCAGAGAGCACCAGCGATGTGTATTAGAGATCATGCCCATGCGAATGCAGGGACCTCTGGTCTTGATCCTTGCATGCCAGCAGGAAGGAAAAGCAGGTGGCTGCAATGCCCGGGACTCCCACCAGGAGCTGTTAGCCTGCACAGCAGACCCTATTACAGCCATCCTGTCCAAGCCAGCTGGAGCCACAGGACCAGTGACTGGACTGGGCTGGTGACAATCTCCTGCCAGCCACCACTCTCTCTGGCTGTTGATTTTGGACTTGGCCTCTCTCGTTAGCTTGGCTCCTTTCACATCACCCAGGAGGCCTGGAACTTCCTTTCTCCTCCTGGGGTTCTGTTGGCAATCTTGAGAAGTGACAGGTTGCTGGGCTGGACCTGGTTACATGCTCTATAACCACCTATCCAAGTGTAGGGTGTCCCCACCCTTGTGTGGAGCAGGGAATTCCGAACAGAGGTAGAAGCCACAGTCACAGCACCCTGACTTGACCTCAAGGTGACATTACTTTTCCTGCTCTCTGGGAACCTTGTTCAGTATCCCATCAGTGGAATCAGAGGCCTGTGTCCAGCAGAGCCATCAAAATCTAAGTTCTCCCCCTGCCTCAGGTGCCTGGCATATCAGATGGGCATGTAGGGCCTCTGGTCCCTCTGGGCACAGGGAGACGAAGGCCCACTTCTGATTTTTTTTTTTTTTTTTTTTTTTTTTTTTTTTTGGTGTGTTGGGTTCCACTAGGAGTGGAACTGCTGATTTTAGAATATGGATGGGTATTTGTATAGCTTTATTGGGGACAGTCAATTTTTTTTTTCTGAAGTGATTATTTCAATTTAAAATTTTTTTTTTTTTTTTTGTGGTACACGGGCGTCTCACTGTTGTGGCCTCTCCCGTTGCGGAGCACAGGCTCCGCACGCGCAGGCCCAGCGGCCATGGCTCACGGGCCCAGCCGTTCCGCGGCATGTGGGATCTTCCCGGACCGGGGCACGGACCCGTGTCCCCTGCATTGGCAGGCGGACTCTCAACCACTGTGCCACCAGGGAAGCCCCATCTTCTGATTATTTTTGTCTTCAACAGAGGTGAAGGTGGAGGACGAGGAAGGGGCCAGGGATGGAACAAGACACACTTCCATAGCTCAGTAAAATCCAGTGTTTTGGGCTCACTCAAAGCCCTAAATGGGGCAGCAAGATTGTCACTACTGATCCCATCTGTTTTAGCTTCAGGGACCGCTTGACTTAAAAACTACATCACACTGTTCTCAGGGGCTCTGTGCCCCTTGCCTGGCTGGGGTTTAACTTGCATGGTGGTGACCTTTTGGATGGGGTCCACTTAGCAGGGGTTTCCACTGGCCCAGAGCCATGGTAACGTCTCCCATCCTCTTTCTGGGTCTTCCCATAAGGGCTGAGTGAGTTTTCCAAGAAGGCAGGGCCACCTGTCAGGAAGCACTTACATCTCTTTGGACCACCTTCTCCAGTGTGTCACCAGCATTCTAGACACCATCCAGGAGGCGCGAGCCCATGTGCCAGCTATTGATGGTTCCCCGTAGAGGTTTGTCTATATCAGGGAGTTGTCCCGAGCCAGGGTTCACAGGAAACACTGAGATCCTTTACTGTTAACTCTAAAAGAATGCTGCACGTGTTTGGTGCCCATGCCTTTCATCCCTGAGTTCTAGCCCTGCTCCTACCTACATTCTGCCCATCAGGATTGGTGATGGCTCTCTCTTTGCACCCAGTGTAGGTGTGTGTTTCTGTGATTGGGGCAAGAAGGGAATGGAACCTTCCTGGGACTCAGCATGGGTTCCAATATTTGTTGGGAAGTGGGGCTGACCTGAGGCTGAACCAGCAGTGTCCCCGCTGCAAGGAAAGAGTACATCAACCAAGGCACTATTCAAGTGTCTGTCTCTGAGCCCACTTCTCAGTGCTCAGATTGCAGCCACCTGCTCAGTTTCTCTCCATTCACAGCAAATAGCTGTTTCCTGCCCAGCTGACCATGAAGTGTGGTCAGTATGTTCACCACTGATTCCTGTGGACCTCCCTCATGTTCTGTTAACTGGCCCATGGGCCACTTTCTTTCTCTTTTGAGAAAGATACCTGTGTCTCTGACAGGTATCCCTTCCTTGCTGCCAAAATTGCAGATCAGAAACTGTGAGATGTTTCTTGGCTTGCAAGCCAGCAAGCCAGCCTACCAGCCAGATACAAACAAAAGACACAAGACCCCAGGTCAGAGACAAAGGCTGTTTCTCACAGCAAAAGCAGCATGGGCTGCCCATGCCTTGATCTCCACATCCGGGGACCAGATGTCAGCTTCATGCAGTGGGTTGTACCGCAAGAGAGAACCCCCAAGTTTTAGGAGATGCTGAGCTTTTCTGGGGCTACTGGCACATCTTCCCATCCTTCCCTCCAGAGCAAGAAGTGACTTACGGCCCTGGAAGACAAGCAAATGTCTCATAGGGAAGGAAGGTGAGGGCTTGTTCCTGCTGCCCTGGATGGCTCCTGGGGTGTCAGTGCTGGCGGTAGGTGCCTTTGCCCAGAGGATCTGACTGTGCAGGAATCCCAGAAGACCATGGAGAATTGTCTTCTGACAACAAGATGAAGACTGAGATTTGACCACAGATTGACAGTGTCACCGGTAGCCTTGTCAAGGGCTGTTTTGTGTGCGAGGTGAAAGCCAAGAGGTGTGGGTTTGGGAAAGGATGGAAAGGGAAGCACCCGGAGACGGAGAGTGAGAACAGCTCTTTCCTGGAATTATCATACAGGGGCACAGAGAAATGAGGTGGCAGCTGGAGGCTTTTGGGGGGTTATATTTTTAAGTTGTTTCTTAAGGTTCCCTGTGAATCAGAAGTCAAGGTGCTGCTTATGAACTGTTATAACTTAAACAACCTTGTTCAGAAAGTACAGAGTTATTGGAAAGTGTTCATCTATGAAATTTTACATATTTATGGAGGAAAGAATTCTTTGTAGTGAAAGATGCACATCTCACCATCCCTCTCCCAGATAAGAAATGTGTTACAGCTGGACATGTTAGATGGGCATTTGGATGGGGGTGATTAAAGAAATGGGTGGGGGCTTCCCTGGTGGCGCAGTGGTTGAGTGTCCGCCTGCCGATGCAGGGGACGCGGG